ATATACCAGTAGCAAAGGCTCCGCACCAAAACCAGTAAAATGACCAAGCCAAAAACCTTAAAGGTAATGAAGCAATATATTTGTCTATAAAAGTAGCTCCATAAGCAAGTATCATTATTGCAATGAGATCTTTCGCTAGATAACTCATTGATTTTAAAGTGCTTCTTTGAAAACAGTGAGGAGGTATCACATCACGAAGTTCTTTGATGGTGATATTTGGTGGCACATAATTTCTTTCGTATTTATTATCAATTTCATTTTGTTGCAATGGTTGACGATATTTTAATTCAGGGTCAAGTGGTGGCGACATTATAATTAATTTTTTAATTTTTTAAAAGATAAAAAAAATAAACAGAAAGGTTTTTTTTTTATCATCGTTGTTTATGTATATATATATATATTCATATACAATAATATATGTAACCTCGAGATTAAATCAAAATTCATTGTAATACATCAAAAATCCAATTCAAAAAAATTTTTCTTAGAAAAAAAAAATCCAATTTTTGGGGAATAAAAAAACAAATCTTCGTCTAACTATAAAATTGATAGTCACATGTCAATTTTTTTAGTCAGATTTTTTAAATGGTTTTTGATTTATGATTTTAGGAGTTTGTGTATAACAATGATAAGTTGTTTTTCAAAATCCTTATGAACTGTATTGTGGTTAGAACATATAATGATATTTCATGGTAATCAGGAACAGTAGTAGCTTAAAAAATTGGCTGTTGTAAACTAGTGATGTTAATTTGTTTCAGTCGAGCATAATCAAACCGAGTTTAAACACACATTTGATTTAATATCCGCTCGAAATGCGCTTCCATAAATGGTTTGATTTATTAGCAGAGTATGTTTGAAGCATGTGCTCAAGAATGTTTATTATTAATAGAGTAACCTAGTGTTACGACCCGTTAAGACCTTATACGGTAGTAACGGATTAACGTTAAGAAATTTTGCATAATAAAAATAATAATAATAATAATAATAACAGTATTGCACTCAAGATAAGACACAAAAAAA